ATCAGGGACAATAAGGTGTCATGTGTTAAAAAATGATGAAGTTGAAATATAATTGTGCAATTGACAAAAGTCCTTAGGAAAAATTCTGTTAATATATTTTATTACATTTTTCTTCACTTTCTGGAAGCAACAGGTAAGCACTAAGAAAAATAACTGGAGGATCAAACAGATGAGTTTGCGAGGAAATGGGAAGAATATGGCCAGAAAAAAAAAGACTAAAACACTTGTGTAAACCAAGAAACCCAATAGTTATTGCACACAGATAAAAATAAAGGTGTCGGGGTTTTTACTTCGATAGTGGCCGGCCCTCATTTTAGCTTCGGAACTGTCTACTGAGTAGAAAGTACATATCGGACTTCTTAACATAACAAATGACTGTGATTATATCACACTTTTAAGTCAAACCGAAGCCCTACTGCAGAAATCCATTTATTCATTATTCTTTTTTATACATAATTCAACCCAAGCTTATACTAACTTGTAGGGCCAACACAAAAGGAAAGTGGTGGCACATGAATATGGCCAAGTGAGTATGAGCTCTATGGAAATGTTCAAAATATTATTAATTGACCTTTTAGCTGCGTTACGTCGTAGTACATACATCATATAATAGCCTTCTTTCTCTATATCCCGGCAGAGATGCAGTTTCTTTGGCTACTGCACATAACAGCTTAGAGAAATCCTCAAGTTTTAGGTTTAGTAGTGGTTATTTGTTGTGTAGATCACATGACAAAGTCCTTATGACTAGCACATCTTCAGAAAAATAACGGGCCTTCACAGGGGTACCGGGATCATTCTTGAAGCTTCTTTGAAATTCCTTATCCCCAGAAGAAAAAAAATATCAAAGCATTGGATGTCTGAGAATACCAACGATTCATCCCGAATAAGTTTTTAATACTAGAAGTGTGAGCTAGATGTACGTATACCAAGATGAATAAATTACACAACTGAGAGCAGTAAGCCTAAGAATGTTGTACATGCAAGTTTTGAATGCTACTAAAATATGACTGAATATAACGCCACGAAATAAAGGATTTTATTGTGAAATAATCTGTTTCAGTGGCTTTAAAACTACATAACAAAATTAACAACAAAATTCCGCTCAGGAAATAAACACTGCTTTCATAGTGAAGGATTTATCTACAGAACTGCCCTAAAAAGAAAATAACATATATAAATGTATGATATATATATATATATATAATATGTGTGATAT